AGATATTTTTATTAAGACTTGGAGGATTGGTTGGTGCGGTAGCTCACGCCTGTAATCCCAGCACTTTGGGAGGCTGAGGCGGGTGGATCACGAGGTCAAGAGATTGAGACCATCCTGGCCAACATGGTGAAACCCCATCTGTACTAAAAATACAAAAATTAACTGGGTGTGGTGGGACACACCTGTAGTCCCAGCTACTCGGGTGAGGCAGGAGAATCACTTGAACCTCAGAGGTGGAGGTTGCAGTGAGCCAAGATCACGCCACTGCAGCCTGGTGACAAAGCAAGACTCCGTCTCAAAAAAAAAAAGACTTAGAGAATTTATTTGTTTGGGGTTGATTCAGTTTTAGGTCTAGTCTTTATGATTCTTATCTTACATATTAATAATATACAAATCTCATTACTTTTAATTCTGGCCTGTTTCCTCAAAGGGCATGATTTGCTTCTTGCTTTTCTAGCATGGTTTGTTAAATTATAAGACTCTTTGCCCCTTTAACTGTGCACTTCCTTCCTTAGGAATCAGAGAAGATCATTGCTGAGTTGAATGAAACTTGGGAAGAGAAGCTTCGTAAAACAGAGGCCATCAGAATGGAGAGGTCAGGAGGTTAAAATCTGGAAATGTTTCTAAGTTTTCTAGGGGATGTGGATTACTTTATAGTAAGAAAAGATAAAATGTAAATTAAAATAGAAGAATCTGCCCCTCTAAAACACAAAACGAAACCAAATAAAATGGACAGGGATTTATGGCCAGTTGAATTTATGCTTTGAAATGACATCTATGTATTTAAATATTCTCTAGGGAGTCACAGGTTTAATAGTTACCATATTACCTGTTGCTAGGGATTCATAGAAAATAGAATATATTGGCCAGGCGCGGTGGCTCACGCCTATAATCCCAACACTTTGGGAGACTGAGTCAGGCAGATCATGAGGTCAGGAGATCGAGACCATCCTGGCTATCGTTGAAACCTCGTCTCTATTAAAAATGCAAAATTACCCAGGCGTGGTGGTGGGCACCTGTAGTCCCAACTACTCGGGAGGCTGAGGCAGGAGAATGGCATGACCCCCGGGAGGCGGAGCTTGCAGTGAGCCGAGATGGTGCCTCTGCACTCCAGCATGGGTGACAGAGCAAGACTGTCTCAAGGAAAAAAAAAAAAAAGGAATAGCCTTTTCTTTTTTATATTAATATGCATATCATTTATGAATTATTGACTATCTCCAAAGTCAGTTGAGACAAATTTCTTATCTCAGTGAATATAACTTTGACCAAGTTTTAATTTATTTTGAATGTGATATTGCTTTTAGAGATAACTTCTCATTAATGATGAGAGATAAGCACATTATTTTATGTTTGCATTATTGACTATAAACATGGCCAGTTGTTTTTGCTTTGCAGGCTTTATTTTCCAATTCGTATTAGACTGATTTAATTGACATTTTGGTATTAGTATTCTGATTTACCTGTTTTTTTTCCTAGAGAGGCTTTGTTGGCTGAGATGGGAGTTGCCATTCGGGAAGATGGAGGAACCCTAGGGGTTTTCTCACCTAAAAAGGTAGGAAACAATGTTGTGAAACCTAATCAGACAGAGACACTTTTTGTTTGTCTTTGTTACTGGGGCACTTCATGTCTTTCAGGACCTACTCTGTCTCCCCCTTATTGTCTTGATACTTGCCTAAATTTCAGATATTTCTGATTTCATCTTAAAGCATGGTCTTATAGTACAAAGGCAGCCTATTTTTAAAATGCCTATCTTGTTTACTATTTACCAAAGAAAAAGCCTAAGGCAATATATCTGTAACTTTTGGCCATGATTCAGTTTGTTTAGTCATCTTTATTTGTTGCTTTCTCTTCAATTCCCAGCCTAACCTAGCATACTTTCAGTTTTGGCTACTCTTTCATGTAGATTTTCCCACAGAAGTCGTCTACCCTGCTTTATAACTTTTTGGAACCAATTTCAGCTGTACAGGTTTGTGGAGAAGAATACTGCTTCCATTTGCTTCTGCAATTTGTATTATAGACAACCCTTGTACTGAGTAAAGCAATTCCTTTCCCTGTCCTTCTAGACTCCTCTGCTTCCTTCTTCATTTTTAAAAAAGTGTCTCCCATAGTTACCTTCCTTTTTACATAATCATAATGTAGTTAGGTAGCTTTTAGCTAATTAGAATAGTAAGGGTTTTTTTTTGTTTTTTTATTAAACTAAGTTGCAACTTATTGTTGGATACTGGAAAATGGCTATCGAATGGTTATTTTGCGTGCTTATGTGTCAGAGAATAGGAGAACATATATTGATGTATAAAGCATGATTTTATGCTACTAGTAAATTATCCTTTATTTCAAGTGACCTTACATTGGCTATTGGAGACTTAAACATCTTTATACCTAGGTTCTGATGATGATCTCTCTAAGTTAGGATACAAGGGGTGGTGAGTTTTGAATTGGTACTTTTATGTGATATGAAATATTCCCGTGGTTTTTGCTACAATTCTTCTGGTCAAGTTTTTCTATTGTGGCCACGTAACTTTTTTTTTTCTTTTCAAATTCCAATGTGTTATTTTCAACAGAAAAGACTGATGTAAAGACATTTTAGATGCATATTGTATAATAGAACAGTAAGTGTTTTGTATGTTTATATTATGAAAGGTTAGTGGTTTCCACAGTTTTAATAGTTTTCCTTCAGTAAGACATGCGTTTATTCAGATATGTTACTTATGATTATATAGATTTTAGCAGTTACAGTTTTGGTGGAATTTAATTGTGCCTATGCATATATCTAAAGGTATTTTATAACATCTTACAGTGTTAAACCTGTAAGGATTTTTTTTTTTTTTTTTTTGAGATGGAGTCTCGCTCTGTCGCCAGGCTGGAGTGCAGTGGTGCGATCTTGGCTCACTGCAGCCTCGCCTTCCGGATTCAAGCGATTCTCCTGGCTCAGCCTCCCGAGTAGCTGGACTGCGGGTGCGTGCCACCACGCCCAGCTAATTTTTGTATTTTTAGTGGAGACAGGGTTTCACCATGTTGACCAGGGTGGTCTCGATCTCTTGACTTCGTGATCCGCCCACCTCAGTTTCACGCAGTGCTGGGATTACAGGCGTGAGCCACTGCCCCTGGCTGGAAAATTTTTGTTATAACAAGTAGTGAATATATTATGGCATTTAACATAAATCATAAATAACTTGAACAAATGTTGAGATGTAAACTGCGTGGAATTCCAAAGTGAGATCTCTGTTCCAAAGCTTTTTCTTACTTTAATTTTTGCTTTAGCTTTCTAGACTTCTTCATGAAAGGAAGGGATATACCAGTGACCACATCCAAATTCAGTCTTAGGACCTGTTTCTGAGATTCCATTTTTCAAATCATGATGTGCTTTAAAGAATGCTACCCATAAAGGGCTTTGACTTTCTCAAAGCAGTCAAGTTCTTCAACTACAAAGGTGGATGCTAGTTGAGAAGATGTGGAGGTTTTTCAAATTTCTCTTTAACCATCTTTTATAGTCCCTTTTCTTACCCCCTCATCTGACTCTTCTTTCATTCTTCCACATTTGCTGGCACTCTCTTGAGTAGATTTTGGCTTCAAGACCATGTGACTTATTTTTGGATTCCAGTGGGGTATTTTCACCGAAGAAGGTTGGTTTTTTAAAAAAGATTTTAAAAATATTAGAGTTAGATGAAGAGGATTGTTAGAAGATGTTTATATTATCGAATATCGGTAATTTTAATTTTTTCTTTAAGGTAAAGACTAATAAACTAAAGTCTTTTAAGGTAAAGACTAATAAATTAATAACTGGGATCATAGAAGAACTGATAAAAATTATAGTGGGAAGTGGTAGGGGGGTATGAGGACATTTTAATAAAAGTAAATATTTCTTAAGATTTTTGCCCAGGCATTTACAAAAATTATAATTATTCCATTCAGAGAATTGGCCTGTCCTCATTTTTTCCTTGTGCTTTGATCTTATCAAAAATTGGGTCTTGTTTTTTTATCCGAGAACTCATGTTTTAAAATAGAATGCCAGGCACAGTGGCTACCTCCTATAGTCCTAACATTTTGGGAGGCCAAGGAGGGTGGATCACTGAGGTCAGGAGTTCGAGACCAGCCTGGCCAACATGGTGAAACCCTGTCTCCACTAAAAATAGAAAAATTAGCCAGGTGTGGTGGCGAACACCTGTAATCCCAGCTACTTGGGAGGCTGAGACAGGAGAATCACTTGAACCTGGAAGGTGGAGGTTGCAGTGAGCCAAAATCAGGCCGCTGCACTCCAGACAGAATGAGACTCTGTCTCTAATTAATTAATTAAAATAAAATAGGATGCATTGGTTCCATTTGGTGAAGTCTAAAGAGAGTGCTTTCTCTTTATTATGGAACCACAACTAGGGATAAAAAGAAATCCCTCTCTAGGCTCCGTGGAGAGTTGGAGAAGCCTGAACTCCTGTAGGCCCCTGTTGTTACCACAGCTCTCTCGTGGTGCGCTGCTCCAAATTGATCATCTGTAATCTTTTTCAGACCCCACATCTTGTTAACCTCAATGAAGACCCACTAATGTCTGAGTGCCTACTTTATTACATCAAAGATGGAATTACAAGGTATATTTCTTTCTTGTTTTGGTCACTTCATGTTTTTTCCCCCTCTTAGATAATTGAATAACTAAAGGGAAGGAGTTGAAAAAATTAATGTGATGATTTGCTGTATTTTTTGTCTGAAATAGTTACAAACTATCCTCTCTTTCCAAATAATGTGTTTTTGCCAGTGGAGCCAGTTAACATGTAGTTTTTCTCTGAAGACCCTAAATAAATTTTTTTCCTTTAACAAATATACATTCCTTAGGGATTTTATTTGACTCATGTCGTTTTATAATACTGTGTGAGTTACATTGGTGTATCAGTGCTCCTTGTTTCTTACTCTGATGTAGAGAGGTTGATCATATGTGAGGATAGAATTTGTAGTTGAAAGCTTCTGATGCAACAAAGCAATACCTTTTTTGTGCATACCAAAGGATATTCTTTGCAATAAAGAGGTTCATTGTTTGTAGTGCTTTCTGTGTCTGAATTTCCCTGGGAAACACTTTTCTCTTGTGTTCAGGGTTGGCCAAGCAGATGCTGAGCGGCGCCAGGACATAGTGCTGAGCGGGGCTCACATTAAAGAAGAGCATTGTATCTTCCGGAGTGAGAGAAACAACAGCGGGGAAGGTGAGCATTCCTGGCTGGAGCTTCAGCAGCAACCTTTTCATTTTATATTCGGAGAAATCCTTAAGACTTTGTATTCTCTGTCTATCAGTAATTCTTTGTTATACAGTCTAATTCTGAAAAATGGAGAGACATAGGCTGCTTATGAATGCAGAGATGGACAAGGCTACTTTACATGAAAATAGCTTGGACAAAAGAAGCCCTTTTGTAACTGCCAAGAACTGAGAAGGACATAGGCAATTAGGCTTGGTCTGGAATGTTAATTATTTAATAGAAAAGTAAGAAAATAGCAAATATCCTGGATAATAGGAGATTTGAAGGACATTAAGTCTTAACCCAGCAGAATTTATTTTTATCTAAAAGGGAGGAAAAAGTCAGTCTTGATTTTTGCCTGGGTTATTAAAACAACAACAATTTAATGATATTTTTGTGTTATATAATTCACTCATTCCCTTATCAAAATATTAGCTTTTCAATCTTTAGTTTCTGGTTATTACCTATGTCTCATCCTTACAATTTCTGGCAGTCTTGAGTTTTATTGACTGAACTGTCAGAGATCACTGAAACTAGTATTTCCTATCATCTTCTTAGGTTTATCAAATAGAGTTAAATGTTCCTGTGTTAGCCATAGCCCCAGATAGCCTCTTCTATTGGAACTAGTTCTGGTACCCCAAAATGAACTACAGTGTAGACAACTTCAGCCACTTGATTGATTGCAGGGATTTATTCTACTTACCACAAATCCTGATAAGCATCTGCTTTCCATTATTTGATTCCAGTGGTTTGTGATGATAACATTAGTTTGTGTTCCTCTTAGTTATCGTGACCTTAGAGCCCTGTGAACGCTCAGAAACCTACGTAAATGGCAAGAGGGTGTCCCAGCCTGTTCAGCTGCGCTCAGGTGAGACTGGGAAAGTTTTGCTGTCTTCAGCAATGTGCACATGGCTTCTGTGACCACTCTAATTTTTTGGCTGTTTAAAGGATGAAGTAATAGCATTAGGATTTTTGTTCTTGTAAAAACAACAGCTCTGAAAGCTGTCTTTTCACATGAGGGAGGGGTGAGGTTATTAAATATATACTATATATTTTAAAAATTATTTCTTAACCCTATTTTTCTGTTTTATGCTAGGAAACCGTATCATCATGGGTAAAAACCATGTTTTCCGCTTTAACCACCCGGAACAAGCACGAGCTGAGCGAGAGAAGACTCCTTCTGCTGAGACCCCGTCTGAGCCTGTGGACTGGACATTTGCCCAGAGAGAGCTTCTGGAAAAACAAGGAATTGATATGAAACAAGAGATGGAGAAAAGGTAATGCACAGTTACGCAGCCCACATGACTGTTCCTTCTTTTAAACATGTAATATTATTAGCATTCTTGAATTTTTTTTTTTTTTACTTCTAGGCTACAGGAAATGGAGATCTTATACAAAAAGGAGAAGGAAGAAGCAGATCTTCTTTTGGAGCAGCAGAGACTGGTAGGAGTCCTGAATCTGCTAAACTGTTGGGAAAAGGGCAGCTTGTTCCCGTACTTTCCCTGTTCCGCAGAGCAGCACTCACCCAAATTGCTTCTCTCAAGGATACCAAGCACTATTCTTTGATTTCCTTGATGGAGAATGAACTTAAATCTCCCAGGAGCCTTAGCCTGAAAAAATAGTCCATAGAGGTACTCTTTTGGGCTTTTTATGTCTGAAAGCCAAATCTTTCTGTTACAACCAAGTGCTTTTTAAGGAAATAGAACTTTTCTGGTAGCCTTTGCCTCTTGATAGTGGTTTTGGAATTTGCATCAGTGGTGGTTCTTTAAATGATAATGACTCTGAATATTGAATTTGGTGGGAGTTTGCCTTGGTTTTGTTTCTGATCACTTGATAGTACTAATTCTCTGCTCTTGGGCTGACTTTGGGATTGTTCTTACGCTGGGCAGATTTTTTTTTTTTAAGTTAAACTGTGTCTAAAAGTGTTGCTGCACAGTTGCATGTGTTACTCCTTTCCTGTTCCCCTGCATGGAGTCTGAATTCTCAATCAGGTTCTCAGTGGCATGTGTGGTAGTGGTGGGAGCAGAGGCTGCATACCCAGCCCGGACAGGACAGAAGGGCTGCTTCCTTTGAGGGAAGGAGGATTTGGGTGAGCAGCTGGAAAAAGTCTGTTTAAGGTCCCAGCTATTGATACAATACTAATGGCTTCAGCATTTTATAATGGTAGTTGATTTCCTAGATTTGATAGAAACTGAATCACATGAGTAAATAAGTTGATCCATTAGTTAGATTTTCATTTTTAAAGCCAACCAAACAACCAATTTTGGTTAACAAAGTCGTGGTTATAAGAACCTTTTCAGCATTCATTGGTATGTAAGAATAAAGTATAACTAACCTTTGGATACTGTGGATGCAGTTTAGGAAGTTCTCATTTTTTAAGATTCAGTCTTATCTTTTAAGGTAAAGGGGTATTAGGGAGAAAGTTCAGGCACTGGCTTCTTACCTTAGTATAAAATGCAGCAAGTAAACTACAGCCTTATAGTCATGCTCTGTGCTTTGGAAAAGAAGGGGCTAGTGCTAAGTGGGCCAGAAAAGTGAAGGACTTGAGCAAAAGCAACCTTTTCCAGAGCACCTCAGTTCTCAGGCATGGGCATGGATTAAACCAGTTAGTTATCTTGTAAATTATAGTAAAGCCCTAAAAAGAATGGATTTTAAGAATAAATCAAGGGTTTGGGCAAGATAATAGCAGTGTTACCGACAGAGGCTCTTTAGGAGGCCTTTTTAGCATTACGTTTTTAATGAAAACGGAAGGGACTAGCTACAATGTGATTAGTGGCTTGAAGAGTTTGTGACACAAGAAGAAGTCTTTTATCTTAATAATGTAGTACATTCTAATAACATGCCTCTGATGGTCTGTGAGAGATCAAACGAGGACAGGTGTAATTAAGCTCTATTATTAACAATAATGCCTTATATTTGTATAGTGCTTTATAATTTACAGAGCGTTAACATCCATCAATTTATCTGATCCTCAAAACAACCCTCTTTGTTTATTTATGCATATGTATAAGTAAAATATGTAATGTTACCTCCAGTTTATAGTTGAGGAAACTAAAACTTGGCTGGGCGCGGTGGCTCACGCCTCTAATCCCAGCACTTTGGAAGGCCGAGGTGGGTGGATCACCTGAGGTCAGGAGTTTGAGACCAGCCTGGCCAACATAGTGAAACCCGTGTCTACTAAAAATACAAAAAAGTAGCTGGGTGTGGTGGCGAGCACCTGTAATCCCACCTACTCAGGAGGTTGAGGCAGGAGAATCGCTTGAACTCGGGAGGTGGAGGTTGCAGTGAGTCGATATTGCACCATTGCACTCCAGCCTGGGCAACAAGAGCGTAACTCCATCTCAAAAAAAAAAAAAAAAAAAAAAAATTGTAGATACTGATTGAGTAAGTCTGGGTTGGGACCTGAGTGTGCATTTCCAACAAGCTCCTAGGTGATGCCAGTGCTCCTGATCCTGGGGACCTCACTTAGAGGAACTAGGCACGGCAGAATAAGGATGCCTGGTGCTGTCCCTAACCAAGAGTCGGTGTTCATTCTGTGCCCTAAAATAAAGATTGCCACTAAATAAAGAGAAAGTGAATGTCTAAGACGTATTCCGTTTCTAGGGAATGTATATAGCCTGCAGATAATCAGATTCTGGTTGTTGCTTGCTCTGTGTATCTGAAAGCAAGCCAGGATTTCAAGAGCAGCTCCTTAAAGCAAGGAACTTGCTTTCCTCTCAAAGGTCTGTCTCTTCCACTTTCATTTCTTGACTTAAGGGAGGAGCTGATTGCTAACACTTTAGCCTGAAGAATATCTACCAGTAGTAATACTGAATGTTTTTATATATTACCCTGTATTGGTCAATTGACAGATATATTTCTAATGCACCCTGTGAATAAACATTGAGAGAATGCAAAGGAATTATTAATCAGTAAATATTTATTTAATATTTACCATATGTAGTCATTTTTTGCATAATATCAGTATTAAACAATGAAATTCAGGCTCATGTGTTTTCTATTCTGATAGTTCCCAAATGCCTCACATTGTTAGGGTGCTGAGCGTTTTCTTCAGTTAGTGCTCTAGGATGCCCTGGTCCTTTCTCTGCTTGCTTTTTACATTCAGTTTAGGGATCTTCCCTCTTCTTATTTGCATAAGTTCCTTGCAGAGTCTCTTTAGGAGGCCTACTTTGCATTTGGCATTTAATGAAAGCCGAAGGATCATTTTGTGACATGTGAATTGACCAGACCTCAGTAGCTTTTCCAACTCCTTAATAAATGAATCTAAATATTTTAAAAATTTGGCCGGGCGCGGTGGCTCACGCCTGTAATCCCAGCACTTTGGGAGGCCAGGGCTGGCAGATCACTTGAGGTCGGGAGTTTGAGACTGGTCTGAAGAACATAGTGAAACCCTGTCTCTACTGAAAGTACAAAAATTAGCAGGGCGTCATAGCGGGCGCCTGTAATCCCAGCTACTTGGGAGGCTGAGGCAGGAGAATTGCTTGAACCCAGCAGGCGGAGGTTGCAGTGAGCCAAGATTGTACAACTGCACTCCAGCCTGGGTGATAAAGCTAGATTCAGTCTCAACAAATAATAATAATAATAATAATAATGTAAATAAATATAAACATTTCTTTTTTTGACATGGAGACAGGATTTATATCACATAAACTTTGCATATAGTTTTTAGTATCACTATCAATATGTGACAGGGTGATACATTTGAACTTTAAAGAGGACGTATTCTACACAGTCAAAATGGCAGCATTTTAAAAAGAAAGAAAATGACGGCTGCTAGATTTAACTTGCGTTCTTTTAGATTTATGTAGACTTATTTATATTTTATTTTAGAGTTTAAAGATAACTTTTGTCTCTTAAACATGATATTAAAACAATTCTTAGAATACTTGTCATTTCCTGAATTAGGTAATATTCATTTCATCCTTAAGCAATTTGAAGAGGAAAAGAAAAACAGCCAGGAAAAAAGTGATAGTTGTTAGTTATGTGAGAAAGAATCAGAGAGAATTTGTTTATGTTCTGTAAAATTCAGTTTATACATATTTGCAAAAAATCCTCTTCAGGAGTCAGTTTTTTCTTTAATATTTATTAATGTCATATTTATCACTTAAAATTAGCCATTCTGATTTTTAAAACTAAAAATGAAAAGAAAAATTAATGTAGAGTCTGTATAAATTTAGCAAGCTTTTGTTGCTAAGTTATCAAACAGGTGGGAGTTATAAACGGACTTAGTACTCATTTGTAGGTCAATAGAAATGATACAAATCAGTGGCAAGATTTTTAAATTCAGAGGCCAAATTATTATTATTATTGTTGAAAGTTACTTTTTCGTTCCTTAGTAAGTGACTATACAGGCAAATCTTTGGTTTTGTCAGGTGTGGTGATGTGTGCCTGCAGTCCCAGCTAAGGCAAGAAAATCACTTGAGCGCAAGTGTTTGAGACCTGTTTGGGTCCCTGTCTCAAAAAACAAAGCAAACAAAGGAACAAACAAAAACAACAAACTTTGGTCTAGGAGGCAAGGTACTATTTATCAGTTTCAAGCAAACAAACTCCTCTAGAGATGTTTTTGGTAACCACAGTGAGTAAAAGATTGACTATGAAGTAACTATTTTCATTTACTAGGCTGCCCTGAACTGCTCATCTATGAGTTGGGTTTTTTTTTTTTTTTTTTTTTTAAAGTGAAAGCATGTTTATTAAGAAAGTAAAGGAATAGGCTGGGTGCGGTGGCTTACCCTTGTAATCCCAGCACTTTGGGAGGCTGACGTGGGCGGATCACCTGAGGTCAGGAGTTCAAGACCAGCCGGGCCAACATGGTGAAACCCCATCTCTACCAAAAATGCAAAAATTAGGTGGGCGTGGTGGCAGATGCCTGTAGTCCCAGCTACTTGGGAGGCTGAGGCAGGAGAATCACTTGAACCCAGGAGGTGGAGGTTGCAGTGAGCCAAGATTGGGCACTCCAGCCTGGGTGACAGAGCAAGATTCTGTCTCAAAAAAAAAAAGTAAAGGAATAAAGAACGGCTACTTCATAGGCAGAGCAGCTGAGTATTTTCTTTTCCCAGCAACTTTTATCTCCCGGATAGAAATTCTTTCTAATCCCACTTATTATTTGGAATTCTAAATCCAACATTGCTTTCATAGAGATCCATGTTATCAAGATTTGCTTGTATTAGTTAAGAGTTATTGGTTATTATCTAAACAGCCCTTGAAATTATGTTGTTGTGAAGTCAGGCTGCTGTTTTAGGGCTAGGTAAGGTTTTCTGAAAAAGAGGCAATGGTGCAAAGACAGCTGGAAAGACAGAGTTAAAGGTACTTTTTAAAGTGGATCAATTTTATGTAACCAGAGTATAATCTTTGTGTTTTATGTGTTTATTGGAAGAGTTGTCACTTAAAGTGATATTCCTCAAATAGCTAAAAATGTCCTGGGCTTTCTAAATAGAAAATATCTCTAAGTTGTACTTATTAAAATGTGACTGGGGGAATTTTAAATTATATTCAGTGGAAGTATATTTGCCCATCTTAATTTTTGTTCTGGTAATTTATTTCTCAAAATTTTAGAGGTGAGGTATTTATTGATTTGTGTGTGTGAAAAACAAGACAAAACACACCTGCTATGAGGATCCTTTTTTTTTTAAAAAAAAAAAAAAAGCTTTCTGGTTATCCAGATAACACACTTTAATTGTAATTGTACAATTGAAATGGATAAATTTAACATGACAAAAAATAGCAAATCCTCTGCTCATGGAAAGGTGATTTTTAAACCCTCTTGTCTTACAGAAGAAAACGTTTGGTTGACTAAGAACTGACATGGTCTGCTAATAGGGATTCTTAGCATTTTTAACATCATCCCTGTTTGACTGCTTCTTTTTCTACATTCTCATCTTCTAACTTTTTTCTAGGGCTGCTCTTTTTAGTAAAGCTAAACAAAACCTGGCGTCCTACAGCCTTACTAACCTTTGTTAATCCGCCTGCTCGTCACATCTTTGTATGGCATCTGTGCTCACTCATGGGGGAAAGAGATTCTGGAAGAAGCAACAGCAATAACCAAGGCAAATGTGGGGAAGTGTCTGCATGGGTTGTTAGCATGATGTGTGGGGCCTAGGTTTTACTTCATTTTCTTCAGATAGTGAGGTCGTTAAGGCACGCCATTTGAATAATTTTGAATGACCATAGGGTGACAAACTCACCCCTGTTGTCAATTCTCCTAAGAAATTTGGTGGCAAATTTCATCACTTAAGCCAGAAAGTGGAAATTTGGATTAGGGACACCAAATAAGCAAATCTTTATATTAGTAGAAATGTACATAGGCATATGTCTTAATAGACTTCCACATTATTGAGGGGTTTTTTGTTTTGTTTTGTTTTTTAGTTTTTTTGGTTTTATTTTTAAATTTAGTTAAGGCTTTTTTGCTTGCTTTTTCTTCAATTTAATTTTCCTTTTTTACATTTTAATTTTGGTTATTTTGGGGCCATTTTTTGATTTTGTTTTTTCAAAGGACGCGGATTCTGATAGCGGGGACGATTCTGACAAGAGGTCGTGTGAAGAGAGCTGGAAACTGATTACTTCTCTGAGAGAAAAACTACCTCCCAGCAAGTTGCAAACCATTGTTAAAAAATGTGGCCTCCCCAGCAGTGGGAAGAAACGTGAACCAATTAAAATGTATCAGATACCCCAAAGAAGGCGCTTGAGTAAAGATTCCAAGTGGGTCACGATCTCAGATCTTAAAATTCAGGCTGTCAAAGAGATTTGCTATGAGGTTGCTCTCAACGACTTCAGGCACAGTCGGCAGGAGATTGAAGCCCTGGCCATTGTCAAGATGAAGGAGCTTTGTGCCATGTATGGCAAGAAAGACCCCAATGAGCGGGACTCGTGGAGGGCAGTGGCCAGGGACGTCTGGGATACCGTCGGTGTTGGGGATGAGAAGATCGAAGACGTCATGGCCACCGGGAAAGGCAGCACTGATGTAGATGACCTCAAGGTTCATATAGACAAGCTGGAAGATATTTTGCAAGAAGTCAAAAAGCAAAATAACATGAAAGATGAGGAGATAAAAGTCTTAAGAAATAAAATGCTCAAAATGGAAAAAGTCTTGCCACTGATTGGATCTCAGGAACAGAAAAGCCCAGGAAACCACAAAGCAAAGGAGCCTGTTGGTGCTGGTGTTAGTAGCACCTCTGAGAATAATGTAAGTAAAGGAGACAATGGAGAACTTGCAAAAGAAGAACGTGTTTCCCAGCTGATGAATGGGGATCCAGCTTTTAGACGTGGACGTCTGCGTTGGATGAGGCAAGAGCAAATTCGGTTTAAGAACTTGCAACAGCAGGAGATAACAAAGCAGCTTCGTCGTCAGAATGTACCTCATAGATTCATCCCTCCTGAGAACCGGAAGCCCCGCTTCCCCTTTAAGAGCAACCCTAAACACAGAAACTCTTGGAGTCCTGGGACACATATCATCATAACAGAAGATGAGGTTATAGAGCTTAGGATTCCAAAAGATGATGAAGCAAGGAAAGGGAATAAAGAAGAGAGCCAAGAAAAAGGGGGTAAAGGAACTTTTAAGGATCCCCAGTTTCCATGGGGCTCTCAAGGAATGAGAAGTCAAGATCATATCCAAGTTAGCAAGCAGCACATTAATAATCAGCAACAGCCACCTCAACTACGTTGGAGAAGCAATTCTCTCAATAATGGCCAGCCGAAAAGTACACGTTGCCAGGCATCTGCCTCTGCGGAGTCATTAAACTCCCACAGTGGTCACCCCACTGCTGATGTGCAGACTTTCCAGGCAAAGCGCCATATTCATCAACACCGTCAGTCTTACTGTAATTATAACACTGGAGGTCAGTTAGAGGGCAGTGCGGCCACTTCCTGTCAGAGGCAGACTGACAAACCCAGCCACTGTAGCCAGTTTGTGACACCTCCGCGGATGAGGAGACAGTTCTCAGCACCCAATCTCAAAGCTGGTCGAGAAACCACAGTATAAATCAGTTACTGGACAAACTTGAAATCATGGTGGAAGAAACAGACAGTGTTAGCTCGTGATTTGATTTGGTTCTACCTTTGGCCTTGAGTTCTTATTATTTACATTATAAATATTAACTGGTTTTATATTGTTAAGACAAAACACTGGTAAAAGTTTCAACACCTCCCTTTTGCTTGTATACCATAAATGGGCAGTTTTTGAAATTTTGGATAAAGCATCAAGAACTTTTTCTGAAATGTTCCTCCTTTTTAGTGCCTAGATAATTAATATACTTACTTACACAGACTTGTCCCATCTTGATGTAAGTTTGTTATGTTTTTATAATGCCTATAAATTAATCTGACATCCAGAAAGACCTGCCTCTTAGTTTATGCAGACATTCAAAAGGAGAATTTGATAAGCAGAATTAAATGTCTGTTATTCTTCATAAATGTTAGAAATTGGTTTAAAAATAATAACATGCAACTGGATGGGCACAACTTTGGATTTCTCATCCATGTCTGTTCCCTTTTTAAAATATAATTAGAATTTTCATAAGCAAAAACTAAAGGTCTTCAAACATATCTTGCCATACATAGCTTTGCATCTTCCACAGAACTTCCACGTCTTCTTTTATTCTGTATTTTACAAGAAACTCATACAATGTTTTTTTTCTTTTGAATGTATCAGAATATGTATGAAATTTGTCATACCAGAATCTATAAATTGGCACTGTGTCTGGGATTCTGTTTGTGGTTTGCATTTTGAAGTTCAGTGTGTCATTTGACACACATACACACAAAGTGAACTATTCACCAAAATCATGCCAACAGAAATACCAACAAAAAACTTGTATAGTTTGTAAGGAGGTTATTTGGCCTGAGAGGGAAGAGGTGGGACATGGGGACAAAGCTACAGCATATGGCTCTGTGGTGCTGCTTTTTTCCAATAGTTGATGAAATAGTGAAATAAAAGTTAACTTTGGTTGGGCTTGGAATAAAGGAGATGATACATAATAAACTATTCTTTGGTTAGCAGTAGTAATGCTCGTAGACACTCAAACAAGGAAGGCGAAGTCCTGATGATCGATCATTTATTGCATCAATACCTCATTTTATTTGGTTGTGGTCTCAGTTTGCCTCACTGGAGAATCCACTAAGAAAGATGGATTTTAATGGGAAGAAAAGAATTATTTTTCTACATCGTTCCTCATCTCTTGAGTTTGTCAAAAACTTTTCTAAGAGGCAATATGAAGAGCCAGAGATGTCTGAAATTGCCTGACTTCATGTTCTGGAAGATTCCTAAGTCACATGAAATCATCTATCAAACACTTTTCTTCCAAATGGTGTGAAAAACTACAGCCAAGATAGCAGTTAGCATTCAAGGAAGCCTTAAAGATTGTGATTATGTATTTTTTTCCTTTGCGTGTGGGCACTGTGCTTTATTAGAACACGTTATTTTTAATCATAGTATTTTTTCTTTGCCTCTAAGAAAATACTTCCTTAATGCACAGAAAGTTGCTTCCAATTAATATTTTTCCCCTTAAAAAGAGAAGCTTTGAGAGATATTTTTGCTTTCATAGCTAGAACAGTTGAAGTCTTCAACTGAGGTTTTATGGCAGATGAGACATGGGTAAATGATGTCTGTAATGGGTTGACTTACTGAGATGACAATCTCCTGTGCCATTTGGTTTGAATGTACTTGAGAGGCTGCTTCAAATCAGTCACTTCAATGCATTTTGTGTAAACCCGGTTGTCCTTTTTTATTCCTCTTTAGACATAAATGTGCTAACTATTCCTTTCTAGACACAATTTATTTTCTAAGATTAAAAATAATAATTGCTAGGTTTGGTGGCACACGCCTACAGCCCCAGCTACTTGGGAGGCTGAAGCAGCAGGATCCCTAGAGCCCAGGAATTCTGAGCTGTGGTGCACTATGCCGGTTGGGTGTAAGTTTGGCATCAATATGGTGATCTCCCTGAAGCGGGAAACCACAAACTTGCCTAAGGAGGGGTGAACCCAGCCCAGATTGGAAATGGAGCAGGCCAAAACTCCCAGGCTGACCAGTAATGGGATCTTGCCTATGAATAGCCAGTGCACTGCAGGCTGGGCAACAGAGTGAGAACCTGTCTTAAAAAAAATATATATATATATATTTATTATATTATTCAGGTTTCAACTCTGTAGCAAAAATGGGCTCTCATTTCCCTGACTTGAGATAACATAGGGTAGGTCCATATATTTTCATTCTTATAGTGGTCTTTTCATGGGAGTGAATGAGTTACTCTCCGCTGGTGATTAGGTAACACTGTACAATGAAGAATTATATAATATATTCATTTACAGCTGTGGATTGTGGTAAGGACTGTGTCCACAGTGATATTCCAAAGAATTGGGTTTATATTTGTGCTTCATCTGTTAATCCCAGGTGTCCTCATGTTGCTGAAATACTTAGATAGCTAAAGGATCCCTTAATTTCACAGACGACCAGGAAGAAATTAACCAAGATTTTATTGGCCGGGCGCGGTGGCTCAAGCCTGTAATCCCAGCACTTTGGGAGGCCGAGACGGGCGGATCACGAGGTCAGGAGATCGAGACCATCCTGGCTAACACGGTGAAACCCCGTCTCTACTAAAAAATACAAAAACCTAGCCAGGCGAGGTGGCGGGCGTCTGTAGTCCCAGCTACTAGGGAGGCTGAGGCAGGAGAATGGCGTGAACCCGGGAGGCGGAGCTTGCAGTGAGCTGAGATCCGGCCACTGCACTCCAGTCTGGGCGACAAAGCGAGACTCTGTCTCAAAAAAAAAAAAAAAAAAAAAGATTTTATTGACTGCTATGTATGTCCCATGATGCATTTCTGAGCAAATGCTTATCGTAGAGAATAACTTTGTATGAATAAAATTGAATCTCTTACTAAATAAGTAACTAGTGCCGTGCTTTTGTGAGCTCTTGGTATGGCCCATATTACTTTGTTTTTTGTTTTTGTTGTGACAGTCTTGCTCTGTCGCCCAGGCTGGAGTGCAGTGGCACAATCTCAGCTCACTGCAACCTCTGCCTGCCAAGTTCAAGCAATTCTCCTGTCTCAGCCTGCTGAGTAGCTGGGACTACAGGCGCGCGCCATCACCCCTGGCTAACTTTTGTATTTTTAGTAGAGATGGGGTTTCACCGTGTTGGTCAGGCTGGTCTTCAACTCCTAACCTCAGGTGATCCACCTGCCTCAGCTTCCCAAAGTGCTGAGATTACAGGCGTGAGCCACCGCACCTGGCCTGTTTTTTTAATGTGATTTTTCTCTAAGCTTAAATACCACAAGGCCAAAGAGAAATGGTCATAATTTAAACCATTATTGTATTGTTGAAGTATCCCTAGGTATTATTGTAGCAAAGTGGGAAAAAAGTGTTTATGCTATTGAAGTTATGTAATGATCCGACATTAATGGGAATATAGAGGAGTCCTAATTAATTGGTATAATGTCACAAAGCAGAATGGTATTCCTTGGAGAGTTAAAGACATTCTCTTTAGTAAGTCTAAACCAAAGTATATTCCTGCTTCTGATTCCTTCTAGCCCAGTGAATTATTTATCTTTTCACTGGTGATGTGGTGAATGGGAATTGTTTATTACATTGAAGTGACTTGGAGTGACCTTTTGTGCTTTAGGTGCAGGTTGACGTTGAAAAAAAACAAAACACTGAATTTGTCACACCTATGTCTGCATTAAAGGCTGTTTTACTATGGGAAGTCACATAGACTTCCTGCAGTCAGCTGCTGTGCCCCCAGTGCCTTACTGGTCCTTTGTAGACTCGCCTTAATGATTTGTACAAATGACTGGGAGGAGGGGATGCTGCCTGTGTCCTGGTGAACCTTAATGAAGGAGCCGTCTTAGGTGCAGTGCGAAACAAGCATTTGTTCTCTACTGTTAGAGCCAAAATTGTGATGAGCAATACTGATAATTGTCCAGTTTATGTCATCTTTCCCAGATTTTAAAATCTGTTCTAGATATTCTTAGCTGGAACCACTTTTGATTGTGAAATGTATTAGTTGTTGTCCCATTATTACTGTAAAATGAAATTTTGAATCTTCTTGTTAATAAACTGTGGATTTCCCCCCTCAATTTCTTAAACAACAACAACAAAAAAATGCTTGAAGATTGTCTTTGAGTGTAAGATCTGCCTTTTCAGAAAGGGAGTGTTAGTTTGTAATGTTATAAAATAAAGACCTCATTCAATAAAAGTTGAAGTCATCTTTTAAGAGTGTGATTTCTCTCTATTTGGGAAGAGGGAAGAGGAAAGCAAGGTAATGCTAACTAAACCTGGTTTTGACTTTTATTTATTGCTTTTTCTTCTGAAGATGGTTGTAAACTAAATCTTTTTAATATTTTTATGTGGACTTGATTAGTTTTAAAGCTTTTGCTTTAGCTACGCTTTTCTATTTAACAAAATTCTGTCCTAAACAAGATCTTTCAGCCCTATTTTATGCCACTTTTCACTTACATAAAATCTTTTCTCACAAAAGATGAATAAGGATATTACTTTCTGATTTGAGTTTAACCGTGTTTTCAGTTTTTTCTCTACATACTCTTGGTTTGAAGTTCTTTCAAATGAAATTATTTATTTCCCTTTATATAGGTAGAAACTAAATTTCTAAAAAGTTTTGAGTGACTCTGCAGCTTTTCTTTCTCCTTTAACCTCTGCTTTTCTTCACCCAGAGTATCAGTGGTGCACTAGAGAGGAAACAGGACAAAACAGAATATTTTTCTGGAATGGACCACTGGTCTCAATGAAAATTTGTACCTGACATTATTTTTTAATGTTTAGAAGCAACGTAATCATGCATCATGGGGTAGAATACAAAATCCACATGAGTTTTTAATATGAAATCTGGAACTTCAGAGAATTGTTATGCCTGAATTGGTCTGCTTCCGGCCTCATACCTTTTTCCTTCAGGTACTTTGTATTCCTCTGCTGTTGGAGAAACTGATGGAAAAGTTGCAGTGTTCCTACCGTTTGTAGGGTGACACGGAAGATTACAGTGTGATATGTGTAGTGACTCTGTGCTGATGAGACTGTGACCACACAGTGCTGCTAGTGGTGAGGAGCTAAGTTAAGTGTTGTCAACAACTGGGGTGTCATCTTGGGTGTGGATATTTTCCTTCTGGCTATTGCTTACTAATTATAATCTGCCATTAGGAGCCAAGCCTCTAATGTCTAAAACAGCCTAACTGGAAAACTCAGAATGATGATACTGATTTTACCTTAAATATCACCTTCTCAGAGGTGCCTTAATTGTGCCACCATCCTCTCTCATCGAGAGTACTGCAGTACCCTAACTTGTCTCTTTGCTTCTATTCTTGACCCCTGTAATCCATTGTCCACATAGCAACCAACATCATCTTTTAAAAGCATAAATCATATCTTATCAGTGTCCTCCGGGGCTTTCCATTGCATGAAAGAATCTTAGTCTTACTGTAGTCTCCAAGGCTTTACATGTTTTGGCTGCTTACCAACCACTTTTAACACTGTCACTCTCACACCACAGATACTCTGTCTGCCCTTTTGTTCCTTGTATATGCCAAGTTTCTTCCCACCTCTGGGCTCTTGTACTTCTCAAGCCTGGAGCCCGTTTCCATCATGCTTACCTCCCCTTCCAGACCTGAGCTCCTGAGCTCTTTCTGCCCAGCCCACCACAAGTTGACTCACTGTTTTAATAATGATAGCCTGTAATTATCTTTTCTTTGTACTTGTTTGGTTCTTCCGTGATAATGTAAACTCACCTAGAATAAATGCCGTATCTGTCTTACTCACTTCACCAGTCATATAAATCCATTACCTGGAAGAGGGGTTCTCAAACTGTTATGTCAATTAGAATTTGGGGTCTTACAAGAACACAGACTATTGGGCGCACCTCCAGAGTTTCTGATTCACTAGGTCTGGGGCGAGACCTGATAAATTTGCATATCTGATAAATTCCCAGGTGATACTGATGCTGCTGGTCCAGTAACCACCTTTGATAACCAGTGATCTGGAATGGGGGTTTGGTAAGCATTTTCTGTAAAACGCTGGATAGTAAATATTTTAGACTTTGTGGACCATGTGGTCTTTTTTGTGAAACTGTTCAACTCTGTTGTTGTAGTAGCAAAGCAGCCATAGACAGTATGGAAATGAACAAGGGTGGCTGTGTTCCAGTCAGACTGTGTTTACAGAAACAGGCAGCGGGCTGGATCTAGCCCGAAGGTCATAGTTTGCCGACCCCGATCTAGAAGGTAGCTACTTCTGATAAATATTTATCTAAAAGATCAGTATGTGATTGTGTATGTGATCTAGAAGACAGATATATGTCAGTTGCTGGGATAAGTGGTAAGTGACAAATGTGTGGTCCCTGGCCTCATAAAGTTCTCAGAGTTGTGGAGGGAAACAGCTGTAATAACCACACCGGTAGTGAGTCAGTACAATTGTGACAAGTGCCATGGTGGAAAAATACAAGGTGCTCTGAAAGGGTTTAACGGGTGCCTTTGGGAATGAAAGGTGTCCTCTCATTGCTCTTAGCTGACAATGTTCTTGTTTCACTGAGGGAAAAAAGCAATCAGAAGAAAACTTTGTTTTCTTCCTTTGTCTAGTTTTGCCTGCATTCCTGTACTGGGCTTTCCCTCCTGTTAGTGGATGAACTGTCCTTGATCCTTTCCTAGCCCAGCCCTTGCTCCCTGCATTCCATACCCTCTCAAGAACTTGTTGAACATTTACCCTCTTCTCTTTTACGTCATCAGTTTCTCTCCTGGATTATTACTGCCAGCATGCAAACATGTCACCAGTTGGAAAAGTTTTCTGTACTTATTACGTCCCACTTACCCACTTCCCATTCTTTTTTTTTTTCTGTCTTTCTTTCTTTTTTTTTTGAGATAGAGTCTCACTCTGTCACCCAGGCTAGAGTGCAGTGGCACAATCTCAGCTCACTGCAACCTCCACCTTCCAGGTTCAAGTGATTCTCCTGCCTCCTGAGTAGCTGGGACTACAGGTGAATGCCACCACACCTAGCTCATTTTAGTATTTTTAGTAGAGACGGGCAGTGTCTCACCATGTTGACCACGCTGGTGTTGAACTCCTGACCTTAGGTGATCCACCCGTCTCAGCCTCCCAAAGTGCT